GGGGGGGGGGGGGAGGATTTCCTTTGTCTGCTCAAATTGTCAGACATTTGTCTGCTCAGCCTCTTTTCCATCAGCGCGTCACAGGAGACGGCTCTTGGGAGAACTGCCTTGTAGCACTTTGTTTCCATCTGTCTGAGGAAGTGAACGTGTCGACGAAAGCTCACATTGAAATATAATGGTTAGTCTTCAAGGTGCCGCATGCGTTTGTTTTGTTTTGTTTCCGTGGATGTTGCCTGTCTGTACCAGTTACGGCTAATGTCACAAAAAGACGAGCCTTGCAGCCATCAGGGACGCTCAGTCCTCTCAGAAATAAGTTCCCTTTGATCTCCGTGCGTAGAGACGAGCAGGACTTCACCGGCCAGAGCCACAGGAAACAGGAATAGTATTGTAAGGGTGGCAGTCATTCGAATGCCTTTGGGGGACTTTTATTCGCTCCGGCGAAATCCCGACCGCCCATGTTTGTCTTTCGGCAGCCACAAGACCCTTGTCCCGTGGATTCTTCCCCTCCCGGCGAAGGACCGTCAACATGCGAGTAATCGGCACTGAAATCCTTGCCTTCCACTTAACACGGGGCGACACGAAACGGCCGAACCTCATCCCCGTGACGTCTAAGGAAAGCAGCTCGGCTCCTTTATTTTATCCACCCTCCCCGTTTTTACAGACTGCAGGGTCGGAGCAGGCAGACAGAAAAGCTCCCCCCCCCGCTCCTACCCCATACCGACACCCGCAGAGAAGGAGAGAAGCTCGCTGGGTTGGACCCATCCTCGCTGGAAGAACCGCCGCCCGCGGGACGCCCTCGGCTTGCAGCTCGCATCGCCGCCCGACCCGCGTCTGAAGGGACCCCCGAGCAGAAGGCGTTGACGCGCTCTTTCTTATGGATCGCCGCATCCCAGCGTCTTCAGCCGGCGGCTCTCGGGTCTCCCCGGGGAAATGTAGGGAGGGCCAAGCCCGGAACGGGTTGCGACTCCGTCCTCGGCAGTACCTTCTGGAGGGAAAAGGAAGCCGTTACTACCCGGCAAGATGCGCGCCCGTGTGCGTCGTAAAACATTATATTAGAACGATCGCCGTGATTATGATCCGAGGGCAGTTAAGAGAAGTTGCCGACCAGCAAGACAGCTGCGGGCGGTTTTCTGAAGGGGAAGATGAGTTTTCTTAGGACCCCAGTCGTGAATTAATTCGTTCCTTCTGCTGATTGTACGGGACGTTAGAATACTGTAGTCGTTTCTGTTACAGCACGCTAGTACGATAATAGTAATAGAAGCCACTGGCAATGGTGCGGCTAAAAAATATTGTAAATAAATAAATAAATAAATAAATAAATAGTAAAAGCAGTAATAATAAAACAGGCACCAAAATGATTCGGAAATCGTAATTTTATTTTTTCTGCAGTTCCTCCTACAAATCGATACATGCGTACATTCCTTTGTACATTTTTGAAAAACGTACATTTCCACCTCTTTGATGGTGGGGTCCTGACATAAATAAAGACAAGACTTAAATCCTCCTGGTCCTCTTTCATCTCCCCTCCGAATCCCCAAGGATGTCTGTTTCTTCCCGTTTTCATTGAAACATTACCTTTTGTATTAAAAGGAGGTACCCTGGCGTGAAAGGACTAAAATCAGTTGCTAGTCCCAAGCAGAGCAGTCTCAATGAAGCGCTTCAATAGTAATTTGACTCACGTAAACCCCTTTATTTGACAGGTCTACTCTAGCGGAGCTTGCGATTAGATGTAGGCCAAAGGCCTGATTACTTGTTGCGCTGGAGCAGTGGAATCGCGCGCGGGTCTGCCTACTCAGGAGTGACCGCCATTGATCTCAGTGGGTTTCTTACATCCAGGAAAAGTGAGTGTAGAACTGGAGCCTAAGAGCGCAAAGATAAAGGTGTTTCCTGGGGGGGGGGGGGGCGGAATCCCAGAGGAGTTCCCAGCCAGACACGTCCGTTGAAGCCATAGTCCGATCCTGAGCATTTCAGTGCTACCCGTAAAACAAGACTCAGGCCAAGCTCTGGAAGGGCAGGATCGCAGCTCTGCGGGGAAACCAAGCCCCCGAGGGGAGCTTAATTCCCCCCAGGCAATGACCCGAAGCTGGAGGCCTCGATCCTCAGGACAGCCGGCCACATCTCACTCCCACGGAAAATAACGGTACTTACTTTCCAGGAAACGTGCCCTAGACGGGTAGGGATGACCACAACTCTCAGGCAGGGGACTTCTGCCGTCACTGGGGTTTCCTCTCCTCTCTCGCTGCTATCCATTCGCAAGAAGCCGGCTGCTGGATTTCAAGAGTCTGGAGGGTGGGAGGCGAGGTCCTGCTGCTTCTCACCTTTCCGGGAGCAAAAAGCGGTCCGGAGATAGGGCGCCCAGCCGGTCTTCCACCTCCCCCGGGCCTTCCTCGCTCCAGATTCCCCCCCGCCCCTTTTCCTTTGGCCGCTCGGCTCCCTCGCGTCCACACCACGCCTGGGCCCAAAGCGGCGTCCTTTCGGA